TATATCCGACGTCTCAAAATATTTTGTTTCTAGTTTTTTTTTATATAAATTGAATGAATATGAAATTTGGTACGTGTCATTTTCTCATTGGGGTGCACCTATAAAAAATATTAAAAAATAATTTTTTGATAAAATATAATGACCACAATATCCCTTGAAACTTTCATGGGTATTTTGATCATTTTATTTTATTTAAAATATATTTTTTTATATTTTTCACTAGTGCGAGTTTAATAGAGGAACGTCCAAATTTTGGTGTCAAAATAGTTTATAAAAAATAAAATAGTGTAAAGACGTGACATTGTGATTGAGATAATCTTAACCCTCCATCAGAATGGATAAGGGGGAGGATAGAACTTCTATGTTGTAATGAAAACATAAAAAGCTTGCCCAAAAGAAAGTACCAAAAAATTTTAGGGAGATAAATTATTTCAAATTTTAAGTTTTAGAGAGAAACTATCATATTTTAGAAAGAAAAACTATCTCAAAATTTTAAAGAGAGAAATTATTTCAAAAAATTTAGAGAGAAACAATATCAAATTTTAATTTTTAAAGAGAACTATATCAAATTTTAGAGAGAGTACCTAAAATCTTTAGAGATAGAATAATCTCAAAAATTTTAGAGAGAGCAACACTATCAAATCTTAAGTTTTAGAGAGAGAAAGTATTATTAAAATTGTAGAGAGAGAAAGTATTCTTAAACTTTTAGAGAGAAACTATTATAAATTCTAAAAAGAGAAATTACAAAAAAAATTAGAGAAAGAAATATCCCAAGTTTTTTAGAGAGAGAAACTATCTTGAATTTTGAGTTTTAGAGAAAAACTATATCAAAATTTGAGTTCTAGAGAGAGAAATTTTTTTAAAATTTTAGAGATAGAAATTACATCAAATTTTAGAGAGATAAATTACCTAAAAAAACGAATAGATAGAAACTATCTTAAAAATTTTGATAGAGAGAAACTATCACAAATTTATGTTTTAGAAAGGGAAAGTATCTTAAAATTTTAGAAAGATAAACTATATCGAATTTTAGATAGAGAAAGTACATGAAATTTTTAGAGAGAGAAAGTATCTCAAAATTTTAACTTTAGAAAGAGAAAGTATATCAAATTTTAGAAGAGACACTATATCAAATTTTAAAGAGAAACAATTTTAAAGAGAGAAACTATTTCAAACTTGGAAGTTTTAGATCGAGAAAGCCTCTTAAAATTTAAGAGAATAATTATATCAAATTTTAGAGGAAGAATGTACATAAAAATATTTAGAAAGAGAAACTATCACAAAAATTTTAGAGAGAAATTATCCTAAATTTTAACTTTAGAGAGAGAAAGTATCTTAAAATTTGAGAGAAAAACTGTCATACTTTAGAGAGATAAACTACTTAAAAATATTTAGAGAGAGATATTATCTCAAAATTATTAAAGAGTGGAACTACCTCAAGTTTTGAGTTTTAGAGAGAGAGAGTATTTGAAAATTTTAGAAAGATAGATTGTATTAAAATATAGAGAGAGAATGCACCTAAAAGTTTTAGAGAGAGAAACTATCTCAAAATTATTAGAAAAACAATTTCAAAATTTTAAGTTTGGGATAGGAAGTATATTAAATTTTAAAGAGAGAAACCATATCAAATTTTAGAGAGAGAAACTATCTCAAAATTTTTATAAACACACTATTCCAAATTTTGAGTTCTAAAGAGAGAAAGTATATTAAACTTTTAGAGAGAGAAATAGTATCAAGTTTTGTTACCAAACAATAGACATGTAAGTGATTGCAAAGAATTCATGAATTTTGTATAGTTTATCCAAACAAGAGATTTGAGGAATCCATAACAAAAATCCTTGCTATTGAAAAACCAAAGATTTCATTGGATTTCAAATATCTGATATTCCTAATTTCCTCCATTTCAAACAAGCCTCAAAAGATTTTCATTCTTCCATGGCCTTTGTGGCAAAAATTTGGGTTATATTCTCCAATAAAAAATGAATTGGATCTATGCTCTTGATATGTCCCTCATGAGCCTCATATAGACCGTTGATTCATTTGCCTCGTCAATTTTTCTCTTTTTTGCCCGAAAAATGAAAGGGTCCACATTTTGTATCGTAGATATGCGTCATGCATTGAGAACATGTGAACCGTCCCTATCATGTAACCAGAGCCATTAACACTAGTTAAATGTATGTCCCAACTTGAGTCACAAATGTTGTATCTAAACTAGCAAAAAGAATGGATGGTACATACTTATCCCTATGGTAAACTATATAATTAGTGGACTACAAGGATACCACTTTTTGATGGACCATCGGACAATTAGTAGATGGATGATTGAATGGTGATTGAGAGAGGGGAACTGCTCTTCCCATCATTTTACATTTGATGATTGGATTGACAAACTTAGAACTGTAGTGTTCCATAGCCCATGGACTAACTTTTTCCAACCCTTAATCAAGCATTCCGGCTGCATCTAGACACCCAATTCATATTGTACCATCCTGTATATATAGCACATCTAGCCCGACGCCTAGTCCAAGGGGGTAATCACCAATGTTCGATACCAGTCGTCTTAAGAATCACCTGTGTAGATAGGGGGCAAACATCAATGCTTGATATTAGTCTTTTAAGAAATGCAGATTGGATAGAGTTCAATATTATTGAGTAAGAATTGACCTCTGCCAGAAATTCGGGAGATTTTGTCAGTAGAATCAACGATCAGTTAAACCAATTGGGTGTATCCCATCTAATTTAAAAATTTAAACATTTTTTGTATTTGAATTTGAATGTTCAATTATCTTTTGACCCTAGAGAATTAGAGTTGATTTGGATCAAAATCAACAGTGCGGGGGTCCGATCCTACACGTACCCAAACACCGAATGATACAAACCTGTCTCATTATTCATCTAGACGAGCTAGGCACGTAACGTGTCACCCACCCTTGGAAAAAAATAAAAATACTCTACAATATAACAAAAAAATAAAAATTATCAAGTCCATTTTGAAATAGGGAAATCTTTTTATGTTCCCCATATAACATAGAAGTTCTATCTTCCCCCTTATCCAACTGTTCATTTTTGAATGGAGGGCTAAGATTGTCTCAATCACAATGTCACGTCTCTATACTGTTTTATGTTTAATTTTTTTTTCTATGAACTTTTTTGACACCAAATTTTGGACATCCATTCTTCTATTAAACTCGCACTAATTAAAAATGTAAAAACAATATTTTCAATAAAATAAAATAACTAAAATACCCTTCAAAGATTTAAGGGGTATTTTGGTCATTATTTTTTATCAAAAATTTATTGTTAATATTTTTTATAGGTGCGCCCCAATGAGAAGATGGCACATGCAAAATTTCATATTCAAAAAAATTGTATTAAAAAAATTAAAAATAAAATACATTGAAACATCGGATCTAAGATCAAACGGTGAGTGGCTCTCTTGATAAAAAATGGATGGCTGGATGGTAGGGGGAGGATAGAACTTCTATGTTGTAGGGGAAACATAGAAAGCTTTTCCTTTGAAATAATGGTCTCTCCACTTTCAATAATTCTATAAACCATAGGCGAGGTTTCGGCAAAGCAAAATGATTTCATTGCCCTCATCTTATGAAACCAAAGTTGATCTACTATAAAGATCATTTGTATTTTTTCTAAGGCTTAGATTTAAGCATCTCACCAAAATGAATGGAATATGTTAATTGGGCTAAAAGAATACTTTCTAGGTTGTTTTTGTAATTTTTTTTTTTATGATTGTTCATTAAAATGAAAATAGTGTATATTTCAAAACTTGGATCAAACAAATGGCCATAAGATGGTGTTTTAAGATTATTGCATCACATTACTATACAACACATAGTTTTCTAGAAATGTCGTTGCATTATTTTATTATACAACTGTTGCATTGGATCATTGCTCTTGGATATAAGAAGTTCGCGATTACTTCTACAAATGTGAAATCCCACCCGTCATAAAGTAGAAAAACCTTTTCTAGGGCCTTGAGACGCTATCAAAATGCACACTCTTAGCCATTAGATTTATCTAATGACTAAAAATAATTATGACATCAAGGGTCTTATTGTATACTTTCCCTTAATTTTATTATGCTTTGGTTTCATGGTTCGGCTGCGAAATAAAGAAAACTCTTTTCAAGACAAAGTAAATGTTACATAGCACAAGCCACTCACGACTACATGTTTTAGACACCATATATTTCGAAGGGATGGGCAAAAATTATTAATCACATGTTCAAGTGAGTAGGGGTGGCAGTTGGGTCGGCGTGACCGGTGGGACGATCCAAATAAAATTGCAAGGGTTGGGTTTAGGCCTATATCGATGTCCGCCTGATCCGACTTGATAAATTTTTATTTTTTATGTTTTTATTTTCTAAACCCTCGTTCCTAGGCTAAGGTTAATTTCATCTCCACCATCTCTCCATGAATGGAGGGCTGATGCTCCCATCGTGTGTATTGTAGTTTTGACATACGCAAGTTGCGTATGCTTTGTTTTATTAAAAAAGGTTTTTGTCCTTTCAATTTTGATTAAGAGAGTCGCTCACCTTTTATTTTAGATCCGACGTCTTAAGTATTTTATTTTTAGTTTTTTAATACAAATTGTATGAATAGGCTCCATCTTCTCATTAAAGCGCATTTATAAAAAATATTAAAAATAATATCTCAATAAAATATAATGATCAAAATATATTTTGAAATTTTTCAGAGTATTTTGATCATTTTATTTTATTAAAAATATTTATTTTATATTTTTTCTGATAGAGTTTAATAGAGGATTAAACCTACAAGTGTCAAAATAATTTATAAAAAAAAATTTAAAATAAAACAGTGACGTGTCATTGTAATTGAAACAACCTTAACCTTCGATTTAGAATGGACGGTTGGATAAATGGAAGCATATATATAAGTTTTGTTGTAGGGGATTTAGAATGGACGGTTGGATAAATGGAAGCATATATATAAGTTTTGTTGTAGGGGAAGCCTGTCCTCGTTTATTCGGCCACTTTTAATTCTTCAAGAAGCAATCCTTGTCTTATTCTTCATCCCTACTCTCCCGATAACCATGAAGAGTTTGTTACTCCCTAATTTCTAGTTTCATTGGGATCTCTCTCGCATCGACGAGTTTCAGTCGCTAGACCGAGCAAAACCTGCAAAACGTCTCTCTCTAGTTCTTTTTTGCTAGGTATTTGCAGACGCATCATCAAAAGGCAAGTTAAAATGCTCGTGGTTATTTTTTATTTTTACTTTTGGGATGGTGTTTTGTATATTCTTCTTTGTCAAAGAAAGAGAAATAAATTGCAAGTTCTGGATATTATTCTTGTCATGGGTCTGCAACTCCTCCATCAATCCTCTTAGAAAACGTTTATTGCGTAAATGTCAGTATTTATTTTAAATTTAAGAGCAGGATACGTGACTTTTTTCTATTTATTTCCATTCAATGCGATGAGTTTTATATTCTTTGAAGTTTTGGATAATACTCGTAGATATTATCATTTTGGGTGATTGCGTTAGTATCGGTTATGAATCTAATAATAGGAATAATTTTGTATGTTTTTTTGCCAATTTTGTGTCCTTAGCCTGCTTCGGTGATCGTCTTTTATACATGCTACTGTTTATTATTCGTATTTTGATCTTTCCACATCTCTGATTTTGAAAAGGTGGTTCCTTTGCATTGAAAATCCGGCAGTCTCAAAAACAAAAGAAAAAAGAAAAGAAAAAAGGCATTGTAATAATCAACATAATGATGATGATGATGATGATTTTGCTATAGTTTTTGTAATCGCCTTCATCTGTGAATGATGGGTTCTTCGTTGACTCCCCCTTTGTATTTTTTTATTTTTAAAGTTTTCAAGTTTAATCAGACTTAATTTACTGAAAAAAAAGAAAAAGGAAAAAAGATATTGGGTTATTGTTTCTTTCGCATTCCATACCTTTTAAGTTTAATCATGATGTTTCTACTGATGGATTTGTGACTTTTTTCAGATTTTATCAACTGGGGTGTGATCGATCGTTTCATTGTGGTGTCATGAATTTTCAGCAAGATAGTCCTGTAGAGGTTTTAGATCGAAGAGATTCACCTTCTGGTTCTTGGCATTGTGCCACAATTGTATCGGGCAATGAAACTTATTACTATGTAAAGTTTGTGAACGATAATGGTGGGACAACGGTACAAAAAGTCCCCAAAGGGGCAGTTAGGCCTTGTCCTCCCCCTATGGATAGTGGTGAAAACTGGATGCCTGGTGATCTTGTAGAAGTTTATGATTTTAATTATTGGAAAGGTGGGGTAGTTATGGAGCCTTTGTTCGGCACCAATTATGTTATTGTTAGGATTTTTGGGACTTCTGAACAGATACAGGTTCACTATTGCAATATCAGGGTACGACAAGCTTGGCAGGACAATGAATGGCATCGAATTGGAAAGGTGAGTGACTTTGATCAATCTCTCTCATTTATTTTTTGCTTTCTTTGTGATGACCCAAATTATTTATTGGTTTGGTGGGAGAGAGTTGATACTATTGAGTCTATTACCCTCTATTTGTTTGAGTTTCTCCCATGAAGCATCTCAATTGTTTTACCTTCAATTGTTTCTGGTTTTGTGTTTTTGGGTTGTCAGGCTTCTGTGTGACAATCAATTGTGCTTTTCTTGGATGTTCTACATATGGCTTTTGTAATTAGAAAGTTACAAAAAAAATAAATTAAGAAAGTTACAAAAAGATGTATTGAAAAAGTAGTTATGAAATATATTTAAGTGTTTTACTTCTGAGAAGCGGTGTGTGAATTGATTCAGCTATTGTGGTTTCCGGTTGTGTGGGGGTTATGTTTGAGAATCGATGGTTCCTTCCTTAGATGTTGTAAATTCTTTTTCTTAATTGATGGATTTTATTATTGTTGACCTCAATTAATTGGGATGAGGCTTGGTTGATGATGATGATGTATTTTATTATTAGTTAGATATTTCATATTAATTATATAATAATGAATTATATTCTGGTTACATGCAATTAGGTTTTATGAGCACATTGGGAGCCAAGATTGCAAGGGGCCTGAGAAACCCCTCGATTATTTTAACTGTGATTCCTTTTTAACTGATGATAAGCTTCCACTCAGTATGGCTGCCATGAGAAGATACATGCCCATTATTTTTGTCTTTGCAGCTGTCTCAGATTTCCTTTCATCTCAATTGATGTTTTACAATATGTTTTGATTCTTTGAAGCTGATTGAATGCTAAATGTAATTTGGATGTTTTGGGTAGTGCTTTGCTGTTGCTCTATCAAGGTTCTGAACATTGGGAAGTCACATATGATGCTTTGCCTATTTAAAGGCTTTCGCTGATGCTAATTTTCATCTGAATTGATACCTTTTTGTGTCTTTTTATTCTCTGATGCTAACTGGGGGGCATGTTTTTTTCACTGAATTGGCATGTGCATATGTGTGTCTTTTTTTTTTTTTTTTGAAAATTTTAATTTTAATTTTAATTTTATTTTCTTTTTTTTTGGTTTTTTGGGTTGTGGGGGTGGTGGGGTGTGCCGGGGGGAGGTGGGGTAGTCGAGGCTGAGTTTCCTTGCTCTTTGTTCAAGGTTTTGCTTAGTGGTGCTACTTGTGAGCCTTTAGCCCTTTATATTACATTGGTTAATATGGGAATCTTAAATGCATTCCATGAGTTAATTTCAAGAATTCCCATTTATTCTCTTTTATTTTATTTTAAGGCTTATTTAGCGTGGGCATTACATGAACTTCTCATTGATATACTGCTTGTTCCCATCCATGTAGGATGCTGGCAATTGGGAAGCGGGTCAGGATGTTGATTGTTCAATGGCGAAAGCTTGGAAGTTAAAGTGTCCCCGACCTCAGTTGCCTGATTCAAGTGGTAAAATTAGCATTGGATATTGCAGATCCGGGGTTAAAGATACTTCTAAGGCCTCTCCAGCATCAAAATCCAAGAAAAGAAAAGCAGAGTCTTCCACTCTTTCAATGGTGTCCGGTCCCTGCAGAAGATTAATTAAAGAAGTGGGTACATTTCGGGGTCCAGTTTCAGGAGGTTCTTCTCCGTTTCTCGAAAAGGTAGATGCTGTTGCTTACCCACAAAATATGTTGGGTGAAAAATGCATGCATGCTTCCTTTAGAGAGAGAAAATTTGGATACAATGAGGCAGATGTAGGTGGGGAGATGCGAAATTCCTGTATTGGATATCCTTTTGCAAGGTGCATAGAATCTAGCGAAGCTTATAGAGAGGACTTCTTAGTTGCTAGTTGTAGTAATGATAGCTGTGATTATCAAAACAGTCCCTATCCTTATCATTCTAGGACATCCCCTAGTCAAGATATGGGTAGCCCTTTTGGTCTTGATGTATCTTTGGAACATGGAAGAGAATGCACTTTTGGTGCAAAGGAGGAATTGACAAATGTAATTCACGAATTAGAGCTACGTGCCTACCGGTCAATAATGGAGGCATTGTATGCATCTGGACCCTTAACTTGGGAGCATGAAGCTCTAATGACAACTCTGCGGCTTAATCTCCACATTTCAATTGATGAACACTTAGCAGAGTTAAGGCATTTAGCTTCTTCTCATTGAAACTATTACTGAAGTTTCCTGTCCAATTGTTGGGAAACATTACCCCTAATTTTACGCCTCGTTTTAGGTTTTTGGAATCTTTGTTATGAGAATAATCTACTTGTATATTCATTGTAAGAAGCGGAATGAATTGATAGAAACATTTATTCTTCATGTTTGGAATCTCTGTGATTTGGCTTTTGCCAACAATGTTCTATGGAGTAGAGAAAATTGTACTGTAAACACTTGCGAGGCAATGCAATTTAGCTTTAAGGCTTTTAACAGAAATTTTAATTTTTAACTTTTGCAGTATTGGCAATGTACATTTTCTTGTGTTAAGATTCTAATTACAGTTGTATTATTGAGGAGTTGATTTCTAGCTCCTGTTATCCATAAAAGGAAGTAAAGAACTTCTTCTAAGTGTTATTGTTATAATTATTTCAATCTGAATGATCAAAAGCATATAAAAGCTGGTTCGTTGCCTTTTTAGGAAAATGGAATGTGAATTGTTGCAATGGATTTTCTAGTTATGTTGTTTTGTAATGTTAGATTCCATATGCCGCTCTACGGCCGGATGTGTTCCTGGGAATTGAGAATTCATTGTAACCATCATTTTGGAGATTAAATGATGCTCACTGAAACCACCATAACCTTCTTTTTGCTAGTATCGATGGACATCTGCATGTGTTTTTTGTAGCACTTCCGCTGATTCTATTTTGGTCTCCCATTTACACATGGCAGGGTTTGGGCCATATACAATTGTGTACTATTTCCCTAAGACGTTTTTCTGTCTGTGGTGGGTTATACAGTGTACAGGTATGATATTTAAGTGGTTCTTTGGTTCATAGATGAGTTGGCTGTTGTAATTCATAAGTCCATCTACGCTGCTGTTTCTAAGGTCTATAAACAGCATGTTGATGATCCTTCGTGATATGCAGTGTCTGGCATGTGGACTGAAACTCTGATTTTTGGAGACAATGAATTTGTATATCGTTGTATTGCTTTCTCTCTCTAATAGTTCATCTGGTGGTGCTCCCTTTTTCTCTATTTTCTTGCCAATGTTCTATTCAATGTATTTAATAATTGAGGCGTCATGAGAAACCAGATGAATAATTTGTATCTCAGTATATTCAGTCTCAATTTACATGCTACATGGGATCTCTCTCTCTAATAGGTTAAATTACTCCCATAACTATTGTACGGCCAGAAGTTTATATTTGAAGAGGTCAAGCATTCCATCGTTGAATTTGGAGGCTCATAACCTCGCTTATAAAAGTCAGGATATGAAGTGGGGGTTTGTCTTTTGCTTAGTTTTTGTAATCAATAATTCAATGTTGTTATCTTTGCATTCATTGCACTCTAGAGGCTTATTCTCTTTGAAGATCAATTCTACAAGCTATTTCTTGTTTTGTAATATCAGTTTAAAGTCTGTTGTGGTCTTTTGGCTGATGGCACCTGTCCTGTAGGTTCTGTATATTAAGGTGTTGAAGAAGATCTCGGCTTATCATTTTAGAACTTCTGTGACTAATGTGGATGCAGATCTGGACTTGCTGACATAACAGTATGCCTTTGTCCTGTATCTTTTATTGTTCTATCAAGTTGGGCCATTCTACAAAGCAAAAAACACAAGAAAAAGGAAAAAAAGGAAGAAGAAGAATTCTTTTTAAGTTTGTCATTAGTTGATATGTCAAGATTCAGTAAAATGACTGGATTGTGCTGGCGTAAAATTGTGAATGTTCCAGAGTGCGATGACTTGGTTTTTCCAGCTCTAGCAGTAATACTAGAGGGGATCCTTCTCAAGAAATTGAAGTAGAATACCAAGATCAGGGAGGAGCTTCATGTATTGAACGTTTATACATTACATTTAGGTGTGGGTATGGCATCCAATCAGGATATAAAATGCACCAGCGGACTTTAAATGATAAAAAATATTTGGCAAACAGAAACAAAGATGAATAAGTGGATTATGACAGTTTTAGGAGCTCAATGGTTTTATACTTCCTTTCTGGGGTAGATATGAGGGTTCTTCATAACTGGAAGGTTTACAATTAACTAACAAGTTGCACAACAGTTTCGCTGGAAAGGATAATAAAAGATTTTTGGATACTACATTTTTTGTGATGGTTAATGGTCCTGTAGAGTTTGTGCCCACAAGCTAGATTATTCTTATTGCTTGAAATTAGGGATCCTAGGTCCAAATAAAAACTTCTACAATACCTGTACGGTAGGCTGTAATTATACAGGATTGTTTGCATGATACGCCTTGCCACACCCCAATACCTTGTGGTGCCAAGTGAGGTTCCTGAAACCTCTCTAAATTCCTGCAAGTCCCTTTCTGCCATGGGAAAATGGTTTGAAGCTCCTAAAATGATGCCAATCTGGTATCCATTGATGTGGATTGTACCGAATGCATGTTGAGATGGCATCAGGATGGACCATTTTGGGAACCCAAATCGCTTTTTTTGGCGGACTTATGATCTAAGTGGGAAAACAAATGGATATGCAGAATTTTTCGGCTGTATGAAGTTGTATCATACTGAATGTCCCCTCTTTACCCACCTCCTTATTTACTGTCTATTTTGAAGTGGCGTGGTCCAGATTCAATAGTGGGTGGGGGAACTGGAGGGCAGTCACATGCTTGTCACCGTGGTTGCTGGTTGCTTTTTGATGGCTAAGTGGCTTCTATCTTAGTTCAAGTGATGCCTCCCCCTTCTGCAATCTGGACTGTCGTCCAGCAAGATACTAGATGGGGTAGAGCAACACAAATGCTGTGCTCTGACCAGGTCATACAATCACTTTAGGGACTGTTTGATAGCAATCAAATACCCTGATATTCCAGGATATTATAGAATCTAATATTATTTTAATTTTAAAAGTTCATAGACATCTTTGGGAGGTCCGTATCCTACTAAATATATCCAAATAAACCCCATATATCCGAATCCCCAAAAATTCTACTCTGACCTGAGTTTTTGGCGATACTAAAAATTTTATCGGCATTGTTCCATTTTCTTCTTGACTCTTTCTCATTTCACTAAAATGGCTCCATGTTCTCGCTCTAAGCCTGTGACCCCAACTTCTCTCTTTCTTCTCTCTCTCTCTCTCTCTGCTCACCTTCGCTCTATCTTAGGAATGGCCCAGTCCATGGCTCAATGCTGAAAGCATGTGGGAGAGAGCTCAGGGATTTTTCACTGCACTAGAATGGCTCCATATTATCTCTCTATGCCTGTGACCCCAATCTCTCTCTTCCCTCTTTCTTCCTCCTCACCTTCGCCCTATCTCAAGAATGGCCCAAACCAGTCATCTTCATACCTGTTCTTGGCCCATGGGACTGGATATACAGATGCAGTTGCAGAAACTGCGGAAGAGAGAGAAAGGACGATGATTTGGGTTTTTCTGAACTTTTAAGAAGCTGGTATGGTAATTCTCAGCCTGTCAGAAAGGCGCCAAAGATGGGAGGCAACTGTTACTGAGGAGCTCCATGAGCGTATGTGGAAGAAGCAGTGGGAGGAAGCTCTTGAGGTAATTGACATGCTTTGAGAGCAACAGTTCTACCAGCCAGGAGAGGGGACATACATCGAACTTTTGATTCTTCTCAATAAATCAGGCCAACCAGACCAAGCTCCAAAACTCTTTGGTTCATGGGGGCTGCCAATGGAGGAGAGAGAATAGGAAAGGGGTTGCCAATGGAGGAGAGAGAATAGGAGAGGAGTTGCATAGAATTCAGAAGCTTCAAAGGGCTTCAAAATGACTAGAAAATGGGCTTTCGTTGCGAGGGACTCAACAGTATTCTACTAAAGTTATCAGTAGTTGAAGACAGTCAAACATATACAGAAAAACACATATAAGAATTATTTATAATTCATATATGGCCATCACTTTATTCAGATTTTTAAAAATTTGAATATTCAGATTCAGTTTTGTCAAACAGACCCTTAAATGTACTTTATATAATTTTGAAAGTAGCAAACAACGGGCAACATGGGGCTGCCACACATTGAAACACAAGCCAGTGTGCTAACATCCAGCCCTAATGGGGCTTGCAACGTGTGTCGACTTTGCTTATTAAATTCTTTATCAAAATTGATATGCTAAACCTACTCTAAGCAATGTCCTGAGATTCCTTCGGCCAAAATGCCCTGACTTATATAAAACAATATAATATTATAAAAGAAAGAATTAATGCCTCATTAATTGGAAACTAAATGCCATAGTACGTTTGGTGTGATATCAAATAGAAGGGCAGATCATGCCTTATTTTGCATAATCTCTCTCTCTTTGGCCGCCAACCCTTCCCACCCCTCGCCGTCATTCTCGTGTGTGTGAACTAGGTGTGGTAATGGATCTAAACCCGATGGGGTCTTGATTTGGGTTAAAAAATTGGACCTGGCGGGTTGGGCCCAAGTCCAAATATTGGACCCAAATACTATTCGGGTTTGGGTTCGGGTTCTGGCTCGGTCCCTCATTATATTTTCGGGTCTGGTGACGTCGGGTTTGGTTGGGTCCCATAATATTTTTTGGGTCGGGTTACGGGTCCAGTTGGACTTGGAATCGACGTGACTTATGGCCACCCCTAGTGTGAATAGGCTGGAGCAAGTTTGCTTATGCACGTATATTACAAGGACATGGATATGAGAATCCGTGTGTCTCTTGAATTTGAAACTGGCTCATCCACTGGACCCGGAGCCAGACCCGACCCCGGAGCCGGAGCCGGACCCGAACCAAACCCATTGCCACCCTTAGTGTGAACAGGTTGGAGCAAGTTTGCTTATGCACCTATATTACAAGAACATGGATATGTTGGATTGGAAACCGGCTCATCTACCTATATTTCGTTAAGTTCTGAATGAGTAATGACACATCCTTACAAGTTTGTATAATGCAAACATGTTATATATATATATATGTATATGTGATTGTCTACAAAGAGACCATTTATCTTTTGTACATGTACATGGAGGTCACAATCATTCTTGTCCCTTAAATTTCAAAATGGGTGGTTGTAAGAGTGTCATTGAATAGAAACAAGTTCCAAAAAAAAAATTCTCGGACTTTGTGACTCCCTAGGCCATCCAATATGACATCTAATGAGTGAGAATGATTGTGATCTCCGTGTAAAAAAGATAAATGGTCTCTTTGTAAATAATCCCTATATATATTGGAAAAAGTTGGGGTTAGCCCACTAGCTCATATGAATATATGAGCCAAACAGCCTATATTGAATCTGGGTCGATTTGACGATCACAGATGTCCGGTAGTGCTTGAATTTTATTTA